CATCTTATACATGTTGGCTACATAGGTCGGCATTGTATAATAATAAACTGAAAGTGATGCTATATGAAAAGGCTATTAACCTAGAAGTATTGAAAGTAGTAACAAGTTATGAAAATTACAATGCATGGTGTCCATAGTGTATATGTTAATGCATCATCGTTTAGATTTAAAATATCATGACAATAATAGAAACGCCTAGATTTAGATTTAAAATATCATGACAATAATAGAAACGCCTAGATTTAGATTTAAAATATCATGACAATAATAGAAACGCCTAGATTTAGATTTAAAACATCATGACAATAAGTGATTACTTGCCAAAAGAAAACATTACATCACGTAACAGGGGTCTTTGTTTAGGGTCTACGGCCAAGCATAAACTAATCAATGCGGGAAACTGAAAATATTTACAATGATTTTGAACAGATATGACCATCTTTGCAAAAGAATAAATATCACTGCTGAAGCTTGGTGGAGCAGAACRGTCGTAAAGTTCTGGTGCCAAGTAAGAATCAGTTCTCGGTTGAAGCCCCGCTACACGTTTTGGACGTATTTGCTTCGTTTCGGTCACTTTGACACTTCGTCCAAAATCGATGATTACGGGATTGTATTTGTCGTTTGGCTTGCGCTCCAGCAGAACATTGTTACCTTTCAGGTCGTTGTGTATGTATCCGCATGCGTGGATGTGCATGAGTGCCTTGGATGTTAACGCGAATATACTATTCCAAGTTGAATTGCTGATTTGTGGTTTGCTTCTGGAAGCCTGAGAAATTGTTAAATTTCGGTACGCTTGGCCGTGAAACGCCATGACGATTCTTACAGGCTCTTTTTCGGTACACACACCAAACAAAAACGGCAACCCCTCATGATCAGAAAGTTGATATATTACATTTGCTTCTCGTAAAGCATCGCCTTTCAAATTGGCCCTTTTTTTCGTGGCAGAGGTGTGTAAATACTCCTTTACCGCTACAACCATTGTAGCACGGTATTTCGCCAGATAACACGTTCCGAAAGTTCCTGTGCCAAGACTTGGCACATCTGCCATCTTCGAGATAAGTTCAGGATCTAATTCTTTGAGCTTTGGAACAATCCTATATTTTTCTTTCTTGACAGACTTTGTTTTAGAATCTTTTGCCTTGGTAGCCGCATGTAAAATTTCACGATCACGACTTTGTGAAACAGCTTTTGCCCGAGTTGATTTTTCTTTGCAGATAGACTTTGCTGGTTTAGGATCGTTTGCTTTTGACGCGAAAGCCGCATTTATCATTTCACGACCACGACTTTGTGATGTTGCCTGTGTTGATTTTTCTTTGCAGGTAGAGTTTTTTGTTTTAGGGTAGTTTGCTTTTGACTTGAAAGCTGCTTGTAACATTGCACGACCACGACTTTGTGAACCGGCTGTTGCTTGACTTGATACGTCTTTAATGTCTGGACGATTTCGATTTTCGGTTGTATTTGATTCCCTTCGCAGTTCTTCCAGCAATTTTTGGCGCCTTTCACGATTATTAGCGATCCTCTTGAGAGCTTTTTTACGCTCCCGCCAATTCTTTTTATTTATCTTCCTTGCTTTTTTCAATTGTATACGCTCCTCTTGTGAGAGTACTTTTTTGCGTACCATGATCAGATGATAACCTACAAATAGTTTACAATATTCCTGTAAAAGAAACACTACACATCCGAGGTTCGACATCCAGATAAAATTTCAAAAAAAGCCGGAAACATCTATAAATGATTGACAGCTGTCAGCTCAAACAAAAGGTACTATAAATATCGCGTCCAACTCTGATTCGGACACTTTTGAACTCAGAGCTATGTCTACAAATAAGTTTTTTATCTTCTGTTCTCTGTGCGAGAAACGATTTTCTACAAATGCAACTTACCAGAAACATTTGAGGATTGCGCATCCGAAGGAAGAGAAGCCAGAGCGTGTGGTTTTTACCCGTGACGAAGGCGATGCAGTTACTGCACCAGAGCCACGAAGAGGCCGTAGCAACGAGTATAAAAACTGGTTGTCAATGCTAACAGAAAGAGTAAACAGTGCTCTACAACCCAGATGTAAAGGTAAGTCGCTAGCGTATAAATTCGGGAGTTTCAATTTATTGATTTGTGATATTTATTTATTACAGCTGGGTGGCATACCATTGCCTTGGATTCCGTTAAGGTAGAGATATTCCGTCACTTCCTGCACGATGTAGGAAAACCGCATCCAAACAGCGTGAGGGAAGCAACACATTTCCGTGCCCCAATCATCGTTGAGAAGACGCTACGAGTCAGCTACAAATTTTTTGACTTAGATGCTCTTCGGCAAGCACTTGAAAGMGGCTCGGTGAGCCTGATTACAAATCAAAAGTGGGACGCACAATCGAAACCCATTGCTACATCGACAAGTCCTCTAAAGCAGATCACTACACCGGAAGAGGCAATTGCGGAAGCAAGAAGAAGGTTGGCTGCACCAAGGCAGAAAAAACCCAGCTGCTCAACAACGATTGTTGTCAGGGACCGCGAGGGYAAGAAACCAGCACGAGAAATCGAGATTGTCTGGTTTCCAGAACTGTATAAGACTCAGGCATACGGCAAAATGTGCCTACGCTTCTACGTAGGGAAGGTCAACTTCACAACAACCTAGAATACAGTAATGTGCAGTCTCTTCGCTTTAAGSTGGATCACTACAGTTTTGTTTTTACCATACCTCACATTTTCATATAATTTATCTATATACTTGATTTTTGGTCCAGTTATAGAAGTTTCAGCTTGACCGAAGTTTCCATGGCAACGTTTATCGTTGGAAACATTTGTTCCAAATACCATGACACCTAAAATACGGTWAATGGAATCATTAACATCCTTTTTAACGAAAACTAATGTTGAGTAATCCGMAAAAATCACAGTTTTGTAAACTTTTTGCGAATTATTCAGAATCAAACCGATTGATTTTCTTTAAGAAAATATGATGCTGTTTTGTTAATGAAGTTAATAATTSCATTCATCGCTGTATCATTAAGGTGGTTTTCAAAAAATATTCGAGAAAAACTTTCAGCCAAAAAATTGAATCGTTTCCATAGTAAAGCCAATCAAGCTGAAACTGTCATCGTTTTTTACTTTGATCGTAATTCTTTAACTGTGGTCATATTTCGCTTAAAATATTATT